GCAGGCAGAGCCACAGGGGCGCCGAGGCTCAGGGGGTCCCTTGCAAGTGTCCTGATGCCTGACCCTTCCCTCTGGGACCTCAGAGGGCGCACCCGTCCCACCTGGACAGAGGAGCTGAGCCAGGCATGCGGGCCTGGCTCAGGGCAGGAGGCAAGCAAGGTGGGAAGAAAGAGAGGAAAGCTCTGCCCCAGTTGGAGGACCATCCTCCCCCCGCCCCGCCCCGTCCCCCGTCCAGGGGGCCCAGCTCCCTCCTCACCCCTGCTCCTCCCCAGCACCAGCCCACCTCTTTGGGTTTTCTGTGTTTTTGGTTGTTTGGTTTTTTTTTAAAGTAAGCTCCACGCCCAAGGTGGGGCTTGAACTCGTGACCCCGAGATCAAGAGTCACCTGCTCTACTGACTGAGCCACCAGGCACCCCCCAGCCCACCTCTTTGGAAGTGACGCTCTCCAGGTCACTGGTGTCCAGCACATCCCACAGCTCAGCCCGGATCGCCTGCTCCATCTGCTCCTGTTCTGAGGGCCTGGGAGCCGAGCCCGTCAGTCCAGGGAGCCCTTCCCCACTCGGCCGCGACACCCTCCCTCTCCTCCCCTCCCTGCACTGACCGGCCAGGCTCGGCGCTGGGAGGCCGCAGAGACTCCAGGTCGGCCATGGCCATCCACTCATTGAGGCAGCTCTGGTCGGAGCTCAGTCTCTCCTGGTAGTGTCCAGCCCAGGTCAGGGCACTGCCCCCCGGCACAAGGCCACTGCCGAGGGCTACCTCACACGCCTGGTGCAGCACCTGGAGCGTGGCCCTAGGACGGGGGAGAGGCTGGATCACACTGTCCTCCCTGCCACCCCTCCCCAGCCCCTCAGCTACCTCTGAGGAGAGGATGGGCCACCCTAACCCTTACCACATGGTCTGGATGGAGATCGGCTTGAAGATTCGGCTCTGCCCACCAGACGTCACGCTGAAGCCCCTGAGGGAGATCGGGCGGGGGTAGAAGCCAACTCCAGGCTCTGGCACAGAGCCCCGGAGAGGCCAATCCACTAGCGACCTCGTGAGGCTGGTCCACAGAATGTATACACATCACTGGGCTTCACGATAAGCCCCATTTGCCAGATATGGGGTAGCTAAGGCCCAGAGAAGCTAGGTGACTTGCCTAGGCTCACACAGCAAACCCGAGGTAGAGCTGAGTAGGCCCAGGCGCCAGATGCCCGGCGCGGCGTTCTCCCACCGCTCCCCAGTGCCCAGCAGCCCCATCACAGACATCACCCTGCTGGCCCCGCCCCCCCCCCTCCCCTCCCCCTAGTTGTCGCCTCCTACCCGTCTCCATCTAGGTACACCTGGGTGTCACTCCACAGAGGCAAAACCAGGCCCAGGGTGCAGCAGGGGGAACTGGCAGGGGACAGAAGAAAAGCCATTGTCCCCCAGCATCTCACTTCCTTGCCCCCACCCCCCTCCCTCTCCCTGCTCCCACCTGCTGTCGGGGAAGTCCACCCCCAGGAGGACGGTCTCATCCCGGCTCAGGTGTTCTCGTGTGGAAACTACCAGCAGGTAGCGGAGCCGGGGGGGCCGGGCTGCCTCCAGCTGGGCTGCCTGGGGGAGATGAGGAGGGAGAAGCCCAGGGTCACGGTGGCCCCAGAAGACCCTGCACCCGTGCCCCCCGCCTGACACAGTCCTGGGCCTAGAACAGACCTGCTGCCCACCCTCCTCTTCTCAGACACCAGATTGGTGGTTATAATCTGATGGTTTCCCACTTTTGGATTTCATGGTCCCACCAGATGTTTAAGAAGACTTTTCTTAAAGTGGCTATGTGTGGAAAAAAGGGGAGAATGGGCCTGACACAGATTGCCTGTTTTCACCTTCTGCCTAGGAAGGAGGCTTAGAAAAAACCTTTGCACTTGCCATCACTATCCTGCGATTCCAGAAAGGTTTCTCACCCAAGAAATACTAAGGACGCGATCCCACAATGAAGGATGGTTATTTCCGTGGAATAAATTCAGCTTTAGAGAGACCTCCTGCTTTTGTTTTTCCCATCTTGGCGGCAGACAAGGAGGTGCCCCACAGACATCTGGGAGCGGGTCCTCAAGCTCTCACCTGTGCCCCATGGCGCCTGGGCCCCCTCCGGCTCAGCAAGCCCTCCTGAGCGCCAGGCCAGGCCTTCAGTAGGCAGACAGCTCGCGGGGTCAGGAAGGGCTTGCGCGGGTTGCACAGAACCCCGTCTCTGTGTAATGGCCAGCTCTTGGCCCTAATCTGGCCCTATGGGCTCAAGCAGGACAGACCTCCCGCCACCGTTTCCCCCACCGCCAGAGCCCTGAAGACTTGACTGTGCCCTGTCAAAAGGAGTAGCTGAGCCGGCAGGCTCACCAGGGTTTGGGGGTTCCTGTTACTGCTCCCCACTCAGACACACGGGCTAGCTCTCTTCCACCCTCCGCCCCAACCCAAGGGCGGGCTCTCCCCCCTTCTCAGGGGGCTCTGGGCCACCCCTCACCAGGCGGATGTCGTCCTGCGGCCTCAGCATCTCCACCATGAGATGCAGGTGCTGGCTCTGCTCCTGCTTCCTGGGGCTCTGGGGCCCATGCCCGTCATCCGTCTGGTCCCCGTGGGGCCGTTCTTCACCCGGGGGTCTCTCCACCGCCTCGGGGCCGGCCTCAGCGGCTTCTCCCTCGTCCTCCCCATCCTGCAGTCTCAGGACAGCCCCGCGGAGGACTGCGAAGCTCTGCCTGGCGGGGCAGCAGGGAAGCCATCAGGGTCCCCCGTACCCCTCAGGACAGGTGCATCCGAATCACCCACCAGGCTTGTTAAAACAGGGGTGGGGCCCCATCCCTGGAGAGTCAGTAGGTCTGGAATGGAAGCCTGAGAATGTGCGTTTCTAACGGGTTCCCAAGTGCTGAGGCCACCCCATTTGGGGAACTACAGTCTCAGAGGCTCCCAAGCCCTCAACCCACTTGTCTAAGGGTTGGGGGTGGGCAAGAGTTGCTCCCTTTCCTCCGCACCTGCCTAACTCAGGAGATGCTGTAAACTTGGTGGGGACCCAGGAGTCCTCGGGCCCTGTTGTCTCAACCTGCCCTTTGGTTTGTGACTACTGGCCTGAGCCAGGGTCCACGATGGTGGTGACCAGGGGGAAGATGGAAGCAAAGGCAGCCAAGTCAGTGCTGCAAGCCAACTGCACCCACCAGCCGTGCCCACTGGCAACACTGCCCCACAGATTCAGGAGTTGGCTTTGGCTGTGAGTCCTCCAGGGTGGCAGTGGCCGGGCCTGGCGGCTGGATGTGGGTGTCTGTGTTGGGGAGAGGTGCTCACCTTCGCTGGAGCCGGCTTCCCCGCTTGGATGCCTGGTCCTGCTGAGAAAGTGGCCCCCAGGGCAGAGTGAGGCGGGCAGTGGCAAGGACTCTCTTCTCTGCTCTCAGGGTGCGATCGCTCCCCGCCCCCCCCCCAACTAGGGACTGGAACCAGGAAAGGTGTCAGGTCCCTTCCCACCCCAGTCCACTCCCCACCCGGAGGCACTGGGGGAGCCTGGGCCCAGGTCCAGGTAGGGCAGCGTGGGGTGAGAGTGGGTGGGGGTGCTGGAGGTGTCCAAGGGGTTGGCCCAGATCTGAGCCTGGAAGTGGGTAGGGCCTCTGCAGTCTGGGCTGGCACTTCGGGGTGCCAGATCTTTGGTCTGAGTTCCTGGAAGCCTCAAGACCCCCTCCCAATCCCCTCCAGCGTGATACTCGGGGTCCCCCTCCCCGCCACCCCCAGGCTCAAGGGGAGACTGGCCGTGGGCAGGACGCGCTCCCCCAGGCCCAGCTGGCAGCCAACCGCGTGGGCCGGACCACGGCAAAGCCAGACTTACCGTGGGCCCCACAGGCGTGGAGTGGCCGCTGGCCGGGGGGGGAGCGGCTCACGGTGACCAGGGCCATGGGTCCTGGCCGGGGACACCTGGGCCGGTCCGGGCACTTTGCCCTCCCACAGCTCTACGGACAGTCCCTGCCCCGCAGGACCAGGAAGGAGAGACCGGAGCCACCAGGGCCTGGCACCTCCTCGGGGGCGGCCCTTAAAGGGCCAGACACTCGTCCAGCCGGGCCCGCCGAGCCAGCGCGGAGCGGCCGCCGCCCCTCCCTTCGCGTCTCCTCCGCTTCGGCCGCCTCGCCCCCGCCCCCGGATACGTTGGGGGTGGACCCGAGGCGGGGCGCAGGTGCGGAGCGCGGCCGGGAGGGAAGTGTCCAGAGGTCCTGCAACTTGCAGCCTTCGTTCCCGGGTTGGGTCCCTCCTCCCGGGAGGCGCCCCTGCCCCTGCCCTCCCGGCTCCGCCCACTTAGGTCACCTGAGTTCTGCTTTGGACCTCAACCGTGCTATTACCTAGAAGAGATGGGACCTAGGGAGGCAGGACTGGGGACACAGGTCTTGGAGAGGATCAGACACAGTCTTAAGTTGGGGGGCACCCCAGAATTATTTCTCCTTGCTGATTGGCCCTCCTGCTTCCACTCTCTGCACGAATCATTGGGGAGACATGCAGAGCTTCAGGGGAAATCAGGCGGGATTTAGAACTGACCCTTGTGGCTCACAGGGGACCCTCAGGGCCACCTTGGAGGTGAGCAGGGCAGAGCTGCAGCAGAGGGAAGTGACTTGTCCAAAATCACTGGGATAGAACATGCTGGGGTCAGTGCAGGAATCCAGGCCTGGGGTGCAGGGGGCTCCTCCCAGCTGGCTGGGAGTAGTCTGGAGGCCCAGCCTTTCTCCCTCTTGGACAGGAGCACAGGTGGGTTCTGGTAAAGACCCAGTGAGTCACAGGAGGACTCCAGGGAATTGATGTTAATGGAGCACCTACTCTGTAAGGGACTTGACATACGTGGGTTCACTTCGCCCTCCCAACAGCCCTGGGGAGTGGGAGGCAGTCTCATTTTACAGCTGAGGAAACCGAGGCTCGGAGAAACCGAAAGGGCCACAGCCAGGATTCAAACCCAGGTCTGCAGCCATTGTCCACAGCGTCGGCCCTCAATGTCACCTCCCCACCTTGTCTCCCCATTGAGCAGAATAAGCCTGCTGCTTAAAGTCTCTTTATTTCCACCTAGGTCTCCAACGCAAGTCCACGGCCAGGGCTCCAGGCCCCAAGCTTAGCAGCAGAGAGTTTATAAATAGATAAGTAACAAAAGCAGGCGGGGCAGCAGCCCAGACGGGGGCCCCCCCCCTCCCCCGGGGGCCGGGTGCTCAGTGCTCCGTGAGCGAGAGCTGCAGGATCCTCCGCAAGTCCTCCTCCTCCTGCTGCCCCTGGCGTTCCTGCTCCTCGTGCTCTCTCGAAGACAACTCCAGGGCCAGGCGAAGTTGCTCCTCAAAGCTTGGCGGGGCTGGGGCCGGGGGGCTCCTGTGAGGGGATTCTGGGCCGTTGGGCTCTGTGGACATCCGCAGGCTTTCTTGGAGGGCCCTTCCAGACAAGGCGTGAGAGGAAGGGCAGAGCAGTGAGTGCTCAGGCGGGGGAAGAAGGCCAAGGGCGAGATCGTGGCTATGGAGGACAGCGGCAAGGACAGGGCGGCTGGGGCCCGGAAGGACCGGAGAGAAGACACCGGGCGAGGGGCCCTGCCTCCCCCATCCTCGTGCTGCCTTCAGTGGCAGGCAGCACTGCTTATGGAGGGTGGCCTTGGAGAGGGCATGGGATCCCGGGACTAGTGCCTCCCCACTACCCACCACCACCAGCCAAGGACCCCCTGGCTGGCAGGGTCCTCGGGGCAGGGCAGCCTGAGACACGGTCCTAGTAGGTCCTAGAGGGCCTCACCGCTCCAGCTGAAGCTGCTCCTCGTAAGCGGTGGCCTGGGGAAGAGGGTGGGCCCCAGGCCGGGTGTTGGTCAGGGCTTCCCAGACTGTTACCTGCAGCAGACGAAGCCCGGAGCTGTCACGCCTGCCACCCCTGCCAGCACCCAGGCGGGGCCGGCCCCGGGCCCGCGTCCCACCTGCTCGGCCTCCGCGCCCGCCTCCAGCAGGCTCTGCCGGATGGCAAACTGCAGCAGGTCGTCATCCTCGTCACGAAGGGGCTCACTGCGCTCTGTGCCCAGCACGCTGTACCCCTCGGGCACCTCAAACACGGCGGGGTCCACCTCGCACGGGAAAGGGCTCCCTGTGCAGGAGAAGGGCTGCACTCAGCCCCAGGGCTCAGGGCCCAGGGAGTGGCGCGGCCCGCCTCCCTGCCGCGGAGGTACCTGATGCTGGGCCGCCCGAGCCCGAGCCGGGGGCCGGCACCCACACCGAGCTCAGGGGCTCGTCACAGCCACACAGGTTGCTGAAGGTGATGCGGGCATTGAGCACGTGGAAAAGGGGAATCTCTGTGAGGAGACAGTGAGCCTGAGCCACCGGGGCCAGCAGCCGGCCCCTCTGTCCCCAGGAGCTGCCCAGTGGCCCTTCGTGCCCTAGGCCACCCCTCACCAATCTTGACTGGGAAGCCGGGGGGAAGGCGCAGGGTGATGAAGTCACGCAGCTTGGCAAAGTGAGCGTTGCTGATGGCCATCAGGTCAATGATGGGCGTCACCTGGTCACCCAGGGAGAGCGGGTGCTCCTCACTCAGCCAGAGCGTGGCCTTGAACCTGCACAGGACGTGAGTCAAGGAACCTCTGGTGGCCCCTCTGTTAAGACCCGCCCAGCCTGGACACCTGCCTTTACTCACGCTCTCTGCCGAGCCTGCGTTGCCCTCTCGTCTGCTCAGCTGTCCCCACCTGCCTTCCCCAGGAGCGTACGTCCTTTCGGCCCTACTGCCCGAGCTGCCCCCCGGACCCTGGGCCCAGGCTGGGGTCTACGGTAGCCTCAACTCATCTGGATGAGGAGTCTACCTGTGGTCCCTGGGACAGTGCTGGGCTCATCGTAAGCTCTATGTCATGGCTCATCAGATCCTCCTAGTGCCCTTGTGAGCAGGGGGACAAGTGTGACTGTTATTTTACTGAGGAGAACAGACTCTCGGAGGGGAAGACATTTCCTGGGGCCACAGAGTCCGAAGACGGTAGAGCTGTGAGCCCTTCCCCTTTGCCACAAACTGGCCTCCAGCAGGTGCTCATTCAACTGAACAGAAAACCATAAATGGGCGGTGCTGCCCATTCATTCATTCACCGGAGAAGAGTAACCCGTCCTCTGGGCCAAGCCCCAGAGCTGGTGCCAATAACCACGGACAAGACAGACCTGGCTCCTGTCCCTAAGGAGGAGAATCTAGCAGGAAGCCAGCTGGGTGAATGGGTCCCCCACTATGGTGGGCCCCATGTGTGACAGGAGTCTGCAAGCGCTCAGGGGGACCAGGCAGGGTCCCCGTCCCTGAGGGAAGTCCCAAAGCCAGTTCCAAGACCTCACCTCTGTACTTTGCTGGACATCTCAATGGGGCGGCCAATGTTCCTCGACTCCAGACTGAAGTTGGGATCGAAGTATTCACTGGGGGAAATGGCTGTGGGGTTGGTGGGGCTGGCGGCCTGCTGCACAGGAGCCTGGGAGGGCCCCATGAACAGACTTAGTGTTCAGGAGGGTGCCTGCCTGGCCCTGCCCAGCGGCCCCCTGCCCGTGACCCCCCAACCTGGGGGCCTGGCTCACCCCGCTGTGGGAGTGCTGCTGGGCCATCCCGAGGAAGGACTGGAATGGAGTCTTCCCTCCTAAGGAGAAAGGGTGGGAGCCCATGAGGAGACTTGGGGCCACTGCCCCCAGACTGCCCCCCTGCAACCACTCTGGGAGCCTCCTGTCGGGTGGGAGACAGAACACATGGGAATGGGGAGGCTTCCCAGCTTGTCCCAGACGTTGTGGCCCTAACCCCCAGACCAGGATGACCCCAGCATATGGTGTGACTGGGCAGCAGGCAGGCGCACCTCGGTTTACCTTTGCTCCTCGACTTGTCCTGATCAGAGAGGTGCTCCGTGCGAGTGCGTGTCACCAGCTCCACATTGGTGGCACTGTATACCTGGGGAGCAGGGGGGACACGGGGGGGAGCTGAGGGCTCAGAGCCTGTTTCCCACACTCAGCCTCACCAGTACAGGACCCACGTCCTCCTCTCTGCAGGGACAGACAGGATCTCGCCCCCCACTGTGGAGGAGGTGGCAGGGTCTGAACCGTGGGGGCTCAGTCATGAGGGGAAAGCACTCCTCGTGTCATCTCGGTAACCGGGTCGGGGCCCGTGCTGGGGTGATCCCTATGTGCTTGGCGGGGCCTGGGCACTCGGGCCCCCCTGAGTTCCCGCGGCCGCACGGGGCTTCCAGAGCCCACGGGCTACTCTGTCTCTCCTCCACATGGGTGGATGTGGAGAAGCAGTGCAGTTCCTGGGCCTCGTCTCCTACCCCAGCCCCCACCACTAGCCTCTCCTGCCTTGGCCTCGTAGCCGCTAACGGTTTCCATCTTCTCAGACCGCCAGCCCCAGATACCACATTTGTTCCTGAAACAGACCAAACAGGAGCTCGTGAGGATCCGGACCCCTCGACCCTAGCCAGAGCCTTCCCTTCCAGAGACCCCTTCCAATTCGTCTTCCCACTGTGAAACGCAAGGGCCTTGAAGAGGATGCCTGGACAGCTGGGGACAATCAAACAGGGACTGGGGACTAAAAAGTACCGAGGAATTATCATTAATTTGTTAGGTGTGATAATGGTGTTGGGGCTGGTTTTATAAACATCCTTATCTGCTAGAGTCATGTGCAGAAGCATTTACTGTTAAAGTGATACGACATCTGGGCTGTGCTTTAAAATGGTCCAGGAAGGGGCGCCTGGGTGGCTCAGTTGGTTAAGTGTCTGACTTCGGCTCAGGTCATGATCCCGGGGTCCTGGGATCAAGCCCTGCTCAGTGGGGGGTCCGCTCGTCCCTCTCCCTCTGCCCCTCCCCCCACTTGTGCGCTCTCTGAAATAAATAAAATCTTAAAAAAAAAAAAAGTTTGGGGGCACCTGGGTGGCTCAGTCATTAAGTGGCTGCCTTCGGCTCAGGGCATGATCCCAGGGTCCTGGGATCGAGCCCCGCCTCGGGCTCCCTGTTCTGCGGGAAGCCGGCTTCTCCCTCTCCCACTCCCCCTGCTTGTGTTCCCTCTCTCGCTGTGTCTCTCTCTGTCAAATAAAAAAAAAAAAAAAATGTTCAGGGAAGGGGCACCTGGGGGGCTCAGTCAGTTGAGGGTCCGATGCTTGATTCTGGCTCAGGTCATGATCTCAGGGTCGTGAGATCGAGCCCCACATCGGGCTCCAAGGTGGGCATGAAGGCTGCTTAAGATTCTCTCTCACCCTCTGCCCCTCCCCCCACCTCTCTCTCCTTCTCTAAAAATAAAATAAAATAAAGTAAAATAAAATAAAATAAAACAGTCCAGAGAAAAAAGGAAAAAAGCAAGGAAGGATAAGACTCAACAAGATTGACAGAACGTCAGCAAGTGCTGAAGTTGGGCGAAGAGGACATTCTTACTATTCTCTCTTTCATACACGTTTGAAATTTTCCAGAATAAAAAGTGAAAAATAAAAGTGTGTCTGATTCGCCAATAACAGTGACAAGACATCAATATCCCACTTTTGATAATGGCTAGGCCAAGGAGACAAACGATCAACAAGGAAACAGAAGACTTGAACAACCCTATTAAAGAGACTTAACAGACTTTCTTAGAACACTCCACCCAACAACAACAGAATGCACATTCTCCTCAGGTGCACATGAAACACTCTTCAGGATGGACCATATGCTAGGCCATAAAAGAAGCCTCAATACAACTGAAAGGAGAAAACTCATACAAAGTATGGTCTCCAACCCCAAGGGAATGAAATAAGAAATCAATAACAGAATAAAGATTTGGGAAACTCACAAAGGTGTGGAAAGTAAACACACTCCTAAAAAACCCAAAGGGTCAATGAATAAATCAAAAGAGAAATCAGAAAATGCTTTGAGATTAAGTGGAAATAAAGATACAATGCTCAAACTTGTGGGATGCAGCTAAAGCAGTGGTTAGAGGGAAATTTAGAGCTTTAAATGACAATGTTAAGAAAAAAAACTAAAGACCTAAGTAAGTGGGAAATGATCACATGGTCACGGAAGAGGACACTCAACATTGTCAAGATGACAGTGCGCCCCAAGCCGAGTTACAGATTCAACGCAAACCCTATCAGAATCCCACCCAACGATTTCTTTGTAGAAACTGACCAACTGAATCTGGAATTCCCATGAAATTGCAAGGGACCCCGAATACCCAAAATAATCCTGAGCAAGAAGAACAAAGTCAAAAGACTCACACTTCCCAATTTCAAAACTTACCACAAGGCAACACTTATAAGACAGTGTGGTCCTGGCACAAGGACTGCCATACAGGTCAACGGAACAGAATTGAGAGTCCAGAAATAAACCCATACGTCTGTGGTCAACTGATTTTCCACAAGGGTGCTAAGACCATTCAGTGAAAAAGAGCAGTCTTTTGCACAAATGGTGCTGGGACAAGTGGGTCATCACCTGCAAAACAATGAAGTCAGACCCTTTCCTCACACCATACACAAATATTAATTCCAAATGGATCAAAGACCAAAATGTGAGAGTTAACCTATAAAACTTGCAGAAAAAAACACAGGGGAAAATCTTTGTCACTTTGGATTTGACAAAATATTGTTAGACATGACCCTGGAGGAACAGGTGACAAGAGGAAAAAATACTTAAGTTGTATATTTCATGAAAATTAAAAATGTGTCTTCAAAGGACACGGTCAAGAGAGTGAAAAGTCAGCCCACAGAACGGGAGAAAATATTTGCAAATCGTATACCTAAGAAGGGACTTAGATCTAGGACATATAAAGAACTCTTGCGGGCGCCTGGGTGGCTCAGTTGGTTGGGCGACTGCCTTCGGCTCAGGTCATGATCCTGGAGTCCCGGGATCGAGTCCCACATCGGGCTCCCTGCTCAGCAGGGAGTCTGCTTCTTCCTCTGACCCTCCCCCGCCCATGCTCCCTCTCAAATAAATAAATGACATCTTTAAAAAAAACAAACTCTTGCAACTCAATAATAAAAAGACAACCCAATTTTTTAAATGCGCAAAGGATCTGAATAGACATGTCTCCAAAAAGAGCTATAAATGGCCAATGAGCACATGAAAAGGTGCTCCACATCATTCATCATGAAGGAAATGCAAATCACAACCACAGTGAAATACCCCTTCTCACACCCGCTAGGGTGGTTATAATCCAAAAATAAATGAACGAACACCAGTGTTGGTGAGGACATGAAGGAACTGGAACCCTCATACACTGCTGGGGGGGCGGGGGATGGAAAACGCTGCAGCCCCCTTGGTAAACAGTCTGGCAGTTCTTCAAACAATTAAACATCTGGTTCCAGATGAGCTACAATTCTACTCCCAGGTATACACCTGAGAGAAATGAAAACTATGTCCCCATAAAACCTTGTATACTAATGTTTACAGAAACATTCATAAAGGCGAAAGGTGGAAACAATCCTAATGTCCGTCAGTAGATGAGTGAATAAACAAAATGTGAGCTAGGCATACAATGGACGGAATGAAGCATCCATCACACTACAACCCGGATGAAGTTTGAAAACGTTCTCAGTGAAAGAAGTCACACAAGACCATGATTCCATTCACGGGAGAGTCCCGAATAAGGAAATCCATAGAGAAAGTAAATCCGTGGCTGCCTAGGGCTGGGGAAGGGGGTGAGGGCACGGGAGTTGGTAGCTACAGGATTTCTTTTTGGGGCGATGACAATGTTCTAAAATTGACTGTGGTGATAGTGGCATTTCCGCAAACACACTAAAAACCACTGACTCGCACACTCTAAATAGGTGAACTGTTCGGTATACAAAATTATATTCCAATAAAGCTGTTTGTTTGTTTGTTTGTTTGTTTTTCAAAAAGGTATTTCTGAAGTCTGTTCCAGGAACTGGGACATATGTTGTCAGAGAGAGAACAGCCTGGCTGGTAGGGTCAGGTTCCTAGGCTACCCACAGAGGACTCTGGCCCAGAAACAGCCATACCACTGAGAAACCCACATTGGGGCAAAGAGCTGCCCTGAACCACAGCCTAAATCCTTGTTGTGATGGGAACACACGTGAGGGCCCCCTGACCTAGCCTCCTTCCCAGGAAGACAGCTGCCCTCGGACAGACATGCAGGGGCCTGAAGGTTGCCACCGGACCTGCAGGTGGTCTGGGTGGGACGCTGGGCCTGCAGGGACCCCTGCCCCCACCTGAGCAGCCTCTGAGCGGCTCACCCTCCCAGAGGCCTGAACCGGGACCCGCGGTGTGGCCGGGCCCCAACTGACCTCTCGAAGGCCACATTGCGCGTGTCCAGGTGGGTGGAGACAATAGGAGAGGTGAGCCGACTGGCCACATGCTCTTCACTGGGCCGCATGGCGGCCAGCAGCGCTTCCGGCTCATGCAGGGCGAGCCCCAGCGTCTCGGTGTGCACCACCTGCCGGTCGTGGTCCACTTCCATCACCAAGGCTCCTGCCTCTGCCAGCCGGCATGGGTGCGTGAGGGGCAACAAGTCAGTGCTAGGCCCCAGACAGCGGGGGAAAGGGCCACCACGGTGCCCTCAGCCTCCTGCTGCTAAGTGGGTGAGGCCCCAGCCCGTGGGTCCCCTCCACCCTCAACCTCTGTTTCCACAAAGGAGAGAAAAAGAACAGCACCGTCCTCACTACGCCACGGGAGAATCCGGCGGGGGGTGCTGGGGGTGGGGGTCCTGGCCTGCCTCATGCCCACAGTGAGTCCCCCAGAGCTCACCCTGGCCCTTGAAGATAAAGCTCCTCCTGCCACGCTGCCAGGTCATGTGCTCAAAGCCCAGAAGACTGGTGTCCACCCTCAGGCTCTCCCCCCGCTTCCACACTCGGTACACGTCACTCGGGCACATCTTGGACACGAGGGGCACTGCAGGGAGTGCGGGGGTCACCATGGTTCTTCCCCATTGGATCCCCCCACCGCCCCGCCCCAGGGCCCTAGAAGCCAAGAGGTCCTCACTCACCCCAGCTGGTGAACTCCCACTTCATCTCCACGTAGAAATCGGGGGCCTGAGATAGACCAGAGCACCTGTCAGGGCCTGGTGCTGAGGATCCGTGGGCCTAGGGAGCTCCTTGTCTGTAGCCCCTCTCTGGGAGTCCAGCCCCTCAGCAGGTCTTCAAGGGCAATGTCCTAGCCACGCCCCCACGACAACCACACCCCACCCAGGAAAGGGTGGGCTAAGTGGGGCCCTAATAAAGTCTTGGAATAAACGGACTATAAGTATCTGGAGCCTGGAGGTCAGTCTCCACCTGGCCCCTAGACTGTGGAGGGGCCCTGGGGGGAACTGCTTGCTCCCTGGGGGTCTCAGAGTCGTCATCTGTAAAGAAGGCACAATGACCCCCTCTGGGCCTGCCCCCCACGCTTGAGGAGGACCAACAGGTACTCTGGGGCACCAGGCCACACCTGCAGAGTCAGATGAAACTCTCCCCGCAGGGAACAGGCCCACATCTAAAGCTCTGTGGAGATTTCTGGTACGCGGGACCCCTGACGTCAGCAACGGCTTTCCTCCTAAAGGGCCCCGTCTCACCCATGTGAGCCTGGACTCCTCTTCCCTACATGACCCTGGAATGGGGTCACTGTCGTCGACAGTGATGGGAAGGCATGGTGCGCAGACTGAGCGGGTGGCAGGTGACCGGTGACCCCCATGCTGCAGCCTGTCACGGCCCCTTGACGCGGCTCCCTACCCCTCCTGACGGACCCCACCTCTGTACCCCGGCGAACCTGGCGGAGTTTGTTGAGCAATTCCGGAATGCCAGCCAGTCTCTGTGTGGCCCTCTGGTAGTCCCGATACTGGAGCACCAGCTGTACCATCTCGGGGTCCCCAGTGCTGACGGCCTCCTGCAGGACTAGGGGCACCAGGCCGCTGAGGGGGGCTCTGTCCATGGCCCCCGGCACCAACCCCACTGCCAGCCTCAGGGGAGCCCCTCTGCCCTCTGCAGTATACCTGCCCAGCCCTGGCAGCTCTCTTTGCCCACATTGGCATTGTGTCGAAGGAGGACTCTCACGGACTCCAGGTTCCCCAGGGACACAGCCAGCTCCAGGGGAGTGCGCCCCCGGGGGTCCTCCTGTTCAATGTCGTGCTAGGGAAGATGGGACACTCAACACAGGGCAAGTAAAGAGAAGCAGGAAGGCCACCAGGCTGAACATGGCTGGGGCTCATGGCGGGAAATAAAGACAGCAGACAGGCCATGGAAATGGCTGAGGGTGGCCTGCGTGTCCTCATAGGAGGAGGGGAGCGAGCAGGTGGGAAGGGCCTGCCCACCTCTCCCGCCTTCGGGCAGGAAGAGAGCTGGGGATCCGGCGGTGGGGCCTGGTCAGGCAGCAGTGCAGCTGCAGATGTCAAGAGTTTGGAGGGGCCTGGGGACCAGAACCAGGTTGCTTGTCCTCAGCCTGGCTCAGGGGTGGTGTGGCGCGAATTCGGGGGCTGGATGCGGTGTGAAGCGGGCAGACGGGCGGGGCAAGGCCCAGCGCTGGAAGCCGAGGCCAGAGGCTCAAGCGAGAGGCGCAGGTGACCCGGGCTTCGGCTCAGGCCGGGCGGCCTCCAGGATGGAGACCACGGCTTTGAGTGGGCTGCGCGGAGGACAGCCCGGGCGCCCGGTGGGTCTCACCTGGCGGCTGTGCAGCGCGGCCTCCAGTTCGCGGTGCCGGTTCGCCCAGACGAGCCGGTGCAGCGGGA